AAGAAAAAGGGCAACGTTCAACATGCAGTGAATCGGAGCCGTGCGTCCGTGGTGGGAGGCGCGGCGATCGGTGCACAAGCCAAATGAGTCATCACAGCCACGCCATCTCCAGTCACAGTCACGCCAGATCAGGTCTCAGCCTGTCCCACAGGAGCCACTCTCAGAACAGCCATCCCCCGTTCACCTACACCCAGGCCCCCTTCACCCAGCAGGGGCCGGGCTCCTGTGCCCAGAGTGAGCGAAGCCACGCCTCTTCCTACGGCCCCCCGGGCCTGCCTCCTCCTTATTGTCTGGCCCGTCTGGCCCCCAAAACCCCTGTCAGCAGCAGCACTCCTCCCGGAGCTCCTCCTGGGAGAGAGTTAGCCGCCGTTCCTCCAGAACTCACCGCTAGTCGTCAGTCTTTTCAGCATGCCATGGGCAATCCTTGCGAGTTCTTTGTCGACATCATGTGACAGGGCAGTGCCTTTAAAACTCATCCAGACTAAAACCATTCTGCACAAGCTCCAGCGCCCCCTAGCCTCCCATCTTAACTCAATTTCTTTGACTCTGACCCTCTGTAAAATTCAGAACGTCATCGCTGACCGGTCTTCAACCTGACCTCTCTGCTCTCTGTCGGTCCCTCAGATGTCCGTACAAAGGACACGACAGGGGGCCGCCTCCCACAGATACAGACACAGCTCTCTGTGCTGCTTTTGTATTGATGTGAAATGTACAGTTTGTGAAACGTGAACGGTATCAGTCAGTGTGGTGATTCTTTGACGCTGCCATGTGGACGTTTTCTCGGGAGTGTGAACTTGATGTAGGATCATATCTGTTCTGCAAGACCGGCCGGGCCTGGATCTCAATCCCCCAGTCCCAGACCAATACTTTCAGCCCCGCACTTAAGAATTATTTCCTCTCTCGCCCTCGACCTTGGACTGGATCTTAAGATTCCATGGCCAAACTGAACCTCTGTGACAGAGTTTCCAGCTTGTTAAAGCTCTTATTTGCCAAGATGAATTTTGAAACAATTCTCAAAGACCCTGAAGTCGTCTGACGATGAGTCACCGAGGCTGAGCGTTGCATGATTGTCTCGCCTGCTTTAAAGAAAATTGATTTTATAAACATAATCTGTTTTAAGTATTAATTGATTGGTTTTTAAAAAAAAGCCTCTTGCAGTGGCTCTAAAGGAAGAATCCAAACACTGGATGATTTGTTTTTATACTATTTATGTGATCATGTGACATTGGTGATGTCATACATTGTCTACGACGGCTAACCGCCAGACAATCAGAAATCATTCTTTGTGAGTACGTGGCCATTTTTCGCTGTCCTAGCTGCGCTCTGTCGAACTCCTCCTACTTTTTCTGCGAGTTGTCGAACCCCGACTCTTGTCGCAGCTCGGTTCAGACGCTTCACACTAACACACAGGATCGCCAACAGTGCATAACACTACAGCAGGGTAGGCCTGATGTAAACCAGTTTGATGGTTGCCCCCATGTGGGCGAAGACTCTGCTAAATGTCGTTGTGATAAAGGCCAAAGCTTCACATTAAATTCTACACAATCTCTTCTTGATGTAAATCCCCTGGAGTTTTTACATCATCTCTTCGTCTTTGACAAAGTGATGAAAACTTTAGGGGGGCGGGGGGACCCTGACCTGATGAAACATTGTCTTATCTTTTTAAAGGAAATGGCGCCACCCCTTGCTGTATCTACCTAAACCAGATTAACAAGAGGGAAATAACAAACACACTGGTCTGTCTTTGGTTGTGTGGTCAAACATGTTGATGTAATCAGTGTCTCCCACATGTCCTGGAACACCTGCAAAATGAATGAGATGTTCTGCGGCCTTGGGACAAAATATGAGAGAGAGAGAAAAAACAAAACAAAAACAAAAATCCCCAAATTTCATGGAAATGCTTAAGAAATTCAAGAGAATGATTTCTCCCCTCTACTCTACATGACACCACCAGCCTGTCGAATGTGGTTTTCTTCAGTTTCCACTTTCAATTTGAATCTGTCTTTCAATTCACCGACTTTTCGGACTTCCATCTGGACCTTGCACCAACTCTGACAAACACATTCCAAGTTTAACAATGCTGCTTAAAAAAGAACAAAAAGAACACCAACTCTGACAAACACATTCCAAGTTAACAATGCTGCTTACTAGTCTATAATGTGATGTAAACAGATGTAATCTGGGAAACAAAAAAAAAAAAATACAGACGCTAACTGTAGACGAGAATTCTTTTTAACGCAGCAGGACGTGTCCTGGAAAAGCCTTGAAAAATACTTTCAAGAAAACAATGGGAACCCTGATAAAACCTGTGATGTCCTTTAAAGGAAAGTTTCAACATCCACACAACTAATGACAGACACACACACACACACAGACACACACTATATTGTGAGCACTTTTCCAATTGTTTCTCCCTCCGTTTAGTTTTAAACACTGTTTTCAATCAAAGCGTTTTTCTGTTATTTTGTTTCGTTACAAAAGGAAAAATAAATTGTACATAGAAATTTATTATATATAGGAAATAAATATATATGTTAAAAAAATTGGTGTTTGCTTTTTTTGCGTTAATAACATGCCTTACTTTACAAATATACTTTATCAGTCCTTTTTGTCCAGTCTTTGGTTTTTCCAGGTATTTGTAGCAATTTTTTTTAAACAGTTTCGGTTAAATCCCACTGTTTACTTGTATACTAACAGAGAAATAATATTAGCATCAAGACGTGTTTATATGGTCAGAATGTTAAAGAGGGAGAGACAGGGTTATCAATGCGTGTCAAGAACTGTAGAATGTACTGAAAATCCGAAACACCTTCATTGATATTGTTATATTTTGATATTTGTTAAGCAGTGTGTCCACTAGGGGTCAGTGCTCAGTTCGGTGTTCATTTCCGGTCCAGTTTTTCAGACGACAGGAAAAATGGCGGAGCAGGTGTTGATAACGTACTTGCTCAGGGAAACGTCCAAACAGAGACACAGCGGGGGACAACGGTGGCCTTTGTGGACATTAAGTACAACAGTGGTATGTGGACGAACAATTCTCCTGCCTGCTTTCGACATTTCTGTTGTTATATTTGTTATGACGATGTCGTTGTCTTCTTTATGCTGTTCCTTCTTTTGAGCGGATGTTTGCTATCCCGCGCAACACCGCCACCACTGCTTCCCAGTGGAACTGCTACGTTGTATGCGTCGTAAGCACTTCGAAAACGTACCAAATCACGCACGTATAGGGAATGTAAGGCTCCCTGTGCATTTGCTAAGTACTTAGGTAACTTATCTTTGAGTATGAACTAATCTTACGATCTCTTTAGTCACATAAACATCTCCTGCAGATCAAAGAGACTGTGCAAGTACATTGTTGACAGCCTGACTTGACTCACACTGAAATATGTGACGTGAATTAAGAACCAGGTGCTGAAGACCTTTGAAAATAACGGCGTTTCATCAAGACTCATCAACTTGCAAGACTTTTACTGTGTTGTATTTATGTGTTAATCTCAAATATAATGTAACTAATTTGAGATTTGCTCAATCTAGCTAGCTGGGTTTGTTTCGCCTTGAATGAAACCATAAATGGAAAGAAAAACAAGAAAAAAAAAAACACTTTTTGATTCCCCTTTAACTCTAAGCTGAAATTTGTCATATCACCAGCCACGCTTAAATGGCGTTCACACTTTACACCCCTGAGTGGAACTTCCAAGCACCAAGATCTGTTGCGTACTTTCCCAGTGGGCTGACTAAACGTGCTAACTAAAAAAACCCACACAGACCCCTTTGGTTTGACCAGCCTTCTTACGCTCTATAACTGCAAAAATAACATGTCACTCCCCCCACACAACACGTGGTATTAGTCAACTGTCAGGAAGGAAGTGGCGTCAGAGCCAGTGTCTGCAGAGGCAGATAAAGAAAGTGATAATAAATAAGCGTAACATTCATGCCACAGATTGAATAACGTTAAAACCTGGGCTCCGACATCTGATGCTGCCAACGTTCTTTTCAGTTTGACTTGCGACGGCTGACGTTAGCCTACACATGTATGCATTACGTGTTCCCCGGTGTTGTATTTACCATCAGTTAGTATGTTAATTACTTAAGCCAATTACTGTATAGATTCATCACTAAAATTACCAGAAGGCAACAAGTTTAACGCATGTGTAGGTGGTGGTTCTTGGCCACGAATTCGTGGGCGTACAGGGTTCTTAGGGTGCTCAGTTCTGACGTTGCACTTTTTTTTTTTTACGTGCTGTATCAAAAGTGTCAGAGCCCGTCTGACGAATGTTACTGTTAGAGGTCGTAGATGTCACGACATTTATGAAAGGGAAGTTCATGACATTGGACCTTTGGTTGAAGATCAAACTGTAGATCAAACTGTGGTTTCTTTTCTGGTGACGTCGAGATTACAGGTGTCAAACAATAAAATCTGGAAACATGTCAAAGGTTGATGTTAGTCGTTACTGTTCATCTTGACACTGTGCAGTGCTTTGAGACTTGATCCCAAAACTTCAGTGAAGTTGTTGTCCTCGACAATATTAGACGGTCTACAGTCCATTCGACTGTTGTCAGTCAGCTCATCAGTTGTAGACTTACTGACTGCCCTGCGCTCAGTCAGGCGCGCTGGGTTTTGAGGCGATATTTTAAGCTTGAGGTGCTTCTGTGAAATGAGAGACATTTTGTTTGTTTCAAAACTAAGGACATTTATTATTTCAGTGTTGCAGGTGGAATTTTTTGAACATTCTTACTATTTAATAGACGTTAAGAAATGTCTTGATGACAACAACCTGGTGCCCATGACTTGTCAACCCATGGTCGAGTGGTAAGAGGATCTGAAAGTTGTCACTGCTTCCCCAGGAATGGGTTGATGTGTTGAAACCAGAGGAAAAAAGGGTTTGGGTTTCTAACCAACAACCTCTGATCATCAGTTGTTTATGTGTTTCATCAGTGTGTGTTTGTTTTTCATGTTCTTGTTCAACAGTCATACTGTATATGACGCTTGTGTGGCATCACCTACAATTTCAGCATTAGGCTGTAAACTTTAAAAAATTCCACAGAACAAAAATGACTGTCAGAAAATGTCAGTTCCATTTAAGAGGAAATAAAGGCAATAATTCAAATTTTATGCAGACGTAAACAAATGACTTGCTAAATGGCCTTTGAAATGCTACGGAAGAAGATGGTTCTTGGAACAAAAGCTCACGGGTTCATATCCTGGTGTGGACAGTGGGCCCGTCTGTGGTTCATACTGTGGTTGTACTGTAGTTTACTCTCATGGAACAGAATCAAAGATCATGCACATAGAGAATGGGGCTCTCTGAAAATGTTGCTGCGTGTTGACCACATGTGACAGTGAGTGGAAGAACAACGTTTGTGCTAAACATAAAAAAGTTTTAGACGTCATGTATCAATTTCCTGCCAACAGGAAATGGTTTTTAATGTCTTTCTAACTGCCCTGAAATAAAATAAATATGCATACACATACATGTTTCATATGTATCTAATGATATGTGTGTATGTATATTTATATATATATAGACAGATGTTAGAATTTCTCAAGGTTTCCTAAAATGTGTAAAGACAAAGGAAGTTTTTGAGCTGTTTTTAATTTGATCTGGGTTTTTTAAACCTGCAAAAATGAACAATTTAAAAATTGGAGCAAATGTTAAATTTTACTTGAGTGTAAAGCTGCAAATTTGTCGAAGCTTTGCGACAGGTTTGGCTTTAGCTTCGTCTGAATTTTTCTTTTCTTTTTCTCAAAATCGAAGCAGATTTCAAAGGAACTTGATTTGAGTCCTGAAGGAAGTCTTTAAAGGAAGCACCACAACAGAAGGATCGACTGAGAAGTAACATTGTTATTTCCACTACTCTTTAAACTTCCCCCTTGTGAATGTGTCATGTTTATTTTAGCTAACCTTCAAAGACTCCTTTAATAATTAAGAAACAGTTTCGATTTCAGTTTTGTAAGTTTTCTTGATTGTTGCTCCAGTGAATTTTTTACAGGAAGTCAGATCATGACTCATCACTACAGTCATATTAGCAGCAGGTGACTGGGGAACCTAGGGAACTTTTTTCTCCAACTTAAATTGTATTTGAACTTTTCATGAGTCACTTATCTCTGTTTTATAACATGACTCTTCATTATCTGTTTTTATTACCACGAGTGGAATCACAACGTTATTAGCGTCACTACAGTATCAACATTAAATTGTTATTTTACACTGTACCTCATTTGATGTTGTATCCACACAATGGCTCTTCATGCAAACAGGAAAGTCCCACATTATAATGACTGAGCTTTATTTACCCAAACAGTCAGGTAGAATTACCATCAATATGAATGTTAACAAGATGGGGAAATTACCAGTTATTTTGTTTTTTGTCATCTTTGGGGACAATAATAAACAAATGGTTCTTACTCCAAAGCCGTTTTTCCCCCGTCTAGATGATGGATGACTTTAAAGTCTTCCAACATAGGTGAAAGGAAAACATGTTCATCCTAACTTTTTTTTCCTAAAAGTATTTTAGCTCAGTTGTCATTGTTGAACATTAGTTGGTAATTACTGTGTCATTAATTTTAACAGAAGCAGCAGCTGAGTTTCTCCACTCCTAGAGGTCGGACTGAGTTTTACAACAGTGTTGAGAAAAATATAGTATAATATAAGTATAGTATAAATAAGCATATTTAATTTTGCATTTTTAAAAAAAATTAGTGTCATTGAGGACATTTTTACAATATTGGCTAACGCTAGAGTTTAAAGGGCAGATGTGTCACAACTGATTACACAACCGCCTTACACGCACAAGGTCCTCGGTGAGCCCCAGAGTAACACTTGACGCCTCCTAGGTGTAGCCTGTTGCAACAGACCTGCTGTTAACACAACAACTTCCCCAGTGTGGGATCAATATCGCTCTTGTTCTTGTTCCTGGTATTTTTCTTCTTCTTCTTCTTCTTCTTATTATTATTATTTGATACAGTTTGTGATCATACAACGCCCTCTCTCTCACTCACTCTCTACCTCTCTCTCTCCCTTTCTCTTGCTCTCACATGCATGTGAGGGTGGCCCCGCCTTCTTTTTTGTAGACTGAAGACTTACTCAGTAGATAGTCACTGGGTTGTATAAGTATTTCAGGTCAAGTAGCTATCAGAACACAAAGACAATCACTCCTGTGGCACATGTCAACGAGCCTTAAGGTTTTTCAGGACCTGGATTTTAAGGAAAACACCAACCAGAGAGCATTGTTGTGGAACGACATTCAGGAAATCTCTAAGTTTGGAGTTCCTTAATATCATCCCTGTGCTCATCATCCTTTACCTCAAGGCTGGACGACTGTGGCAGAACCATGGCTGTGGTCCTGTGGACGATGGCACTTACCCTGCTGGTGCAGAGGTCATTGTTCGCTGTTGGACACTCAGACACTGGCTGCATGAAGTGGGTCCAACGTGGAGAGCAAGTTTGCTGTGAAGCCTGTTTTCCAGGTGAGAAATGAAGCTTTTCTTTTCACAGTGTGAAAATGTATGACTGCCGTTGTTTTGTGTTATCAGTGTGGAACTGAGAATCTTAGCCAGTTTGGAGCCTCATCTGTGATATTGTATTTCTTTTTTGTATAGCTCTTCTATTTTTTTTTTTTTTTTCCAAAAAGGGGACTTTAGTTTCCAGTCCCTGTTTGGGACAATAGACAGAGCACAAGTACCTCTTGTGGTACCCACCCCGTACTTTGAGAACCCTTGCCACAAAGGAAATTGCTCTGTATATTTAATCCTAGTGAGAAATTGTTGCGTTCCCAGAGTCGAGGAGTATTGGCACCTGGGCGGGGATTCAAACTAGCAATTCCTCTGATTAACAGCCATCCTATCAACCACTTATTAACCACAAATATTCATATTATATATATATATATGTGTGTGTATATATATGTGTGTGTGTGTGTGTGTGTATATATATATAAAGAGAGAGAGATATTTTAACTCCTTCTGAGTTCTACTTTCAAAAAGTAACGTTACCAAATTCTGGCATAAGGTTGACCAAACTCTGTGACCTTTTACTGTGGATTCAAATGACGTTCCTTTCATTGGTGGTTTCCCGTAACCCAATATAGTTTCTGTGGTTTCTCTGCTAATACCACAAGAACGTAACCAGCTTAACTGATGAAGCAGATGGTTGATAACAAATTTGGCTTTGCTAATTAAACATTTATTTGTCTTTTTCTCCAACACTGGAATCCTGTGTCCTCCCCTAAAGTCACATTACTCTGATCTTCTGCTGAATTGACGCAGCTTTTTGTTGTCATACAGCTGTTGTGTGTTAATTCAACAATGGTTTGTGTTTATTTTTTGTGTGTTTGCAGGAAACCATCTGGTCGCAGAATGTGGTCTTAGTCCCAAAAATCTCTGCACTCCCTGTGAGCCGTCGACCTACACGGTCCAGCCCCGAGTCTACAGCTGTGAACCATGCACACAGTGTGTCGGTACGTTCGTGTACACACATAAGGATGGGAACTCAAACTATGGTGTCCTTACCACCGTAGTTACTTAGTCATGCTCGAGTTGGGATGACCAAATAGTTCATAAACTATTTCATAAAAATAGTGAGCTTTTAAAAATAGTGAAGTCAGACTTTGGAGTGAAACTACCAAAAGGAGAAGTGAGACTCAGAGGAGTAGTATAACGTTATAAAATGCCCTATAAAGACTGCAGTGGGCAAAGGTGAATCAACTGAATGAAGGACTTTTGTTTTCACATTTGACATATTGTCAATGTGAATTTTGAGTGAGAGGCTATTGATGATGTAGTTGGGATTTAGGATTAAAATTAGTGTCATATTAGAGCGAGGGTCAGGGATTAAGATTAGAAATATTATTATTGATAAGGTTAGGATAAGGAAATATACAGTGTGTACATGAAGGGTGTACACAAAAAAATTGTGTGTTGGAACTGAGCTGAAGTTTTAACACTGCTTAATTAGATAGATACATTATATATACATGTATATATCTATATAAATATTAAACAAATAAACACATGCAAAATAGCATGTGCTACACTACTGTTCTATACTGTCCTTAACTGTGTATTTTGGTGATACTTGGCGAGGCAACTATGTTCTCTTGCTGTGCAAGTAAAAAAAAGTTTTACTTGGCGAGGCAACTATGTTCTCTTGGTGTGCAAGTAAAAAAACGTTTTCAAAACAGTTTGAACAAAAAAAAAAACTAGATAAATACTGGATAAAGAGTATTAAAAAAAAAAACTAGATAAATACTTGATAAAGAGTAATACAAGGTCAACTGTTTGACTAACCAAAAGTTGAAAAATAGTTTATATTAATATTTATTCATGTAAATATTAAAATTAGTTGTGTGTTTTTATAATATTACATTTGTTGATCCACGTAAGATCACGTCATACACCTGATTTGAGACACCTATTTCCATCTCTTGGCTCCATCAGCTGCTCAGGTACTGGTGAAGCAGTGCACCGCCACAAGGGACACCCAGTGTGGCTGTAAAGAAGGCCTCCTCTGTGGTGACAGCGCCTGTTCTTTTTGTGTTGAAAAGTGCGAAAAAGGTCATGAACCCACAAAGGATCGTAAGTAAACACTTCAACACTTGATTGAACACACATTGAGACCTGAGTTTGAGATGTACTAATGAATAACTGTTTCGTGAAGGTTCTTGCAGACCATGTCCTGAAGGAACCTTCAACGACCAAATTCATCAGAAGTGTAAACCCTGGAGAACCAGGTAAGAGATCCAACCTGACTGACAACATCAATTGATATAAGTCTGAATATTTAAGATAAAAAATATATAATTATAATGATGGTATGTTTGTTTTTGAAGGTGTCCCCTCCCGTATCACAATATTGTGGCTTCAGGAGATGCATTTTCCGACATAAAGTGTGCTAATTTTACACCAGGTCCGTTGCAAACAAAACAAAAAGCTGGTGAGCATTAACTCTTATTTTATTGCACTATATTTTTTAAGTTTACGGTCATTTAAAGCCACCTTTAATTCCCCGCTTTTCCTATCGAATACGACAGAAGAGGGCGGATACCTGGCTTTGATTGTGGTGATCGGTGTTGTGCTTGTTGCCTTTAGCAGCATAATCTTTGTCATCTTTGTTGTGGCCATGAAAAATCTCCGGAAAAGAAAAAGGCAACAAAAACCAACCACAGACACACCCATTATCAGGCCGACTACAGGTAATTACCGACAATGACAAGTTTCAATGCAGTGTTCATTTCGTCGACTTTCGTCAAAGATGATCTATTTTCTGACGAAAACTAAACATGAAGTTATTTGGGACAAAATACCGGTGATGTAAACAAACTGGCAGGGCGAATCAGCGCTAAGTTTACTATGTAAACAGGAAGAACCGCAGAGTGTGTGGTCCAATCAGAGCCATTGTTGTTACCTAGAAGGCGGGACTTCTAAATGCACTTCCTTGTACTATAGTATGAATAGAAAAGCGGGAACTCCAACCTCTGTTTGTGACTTGGCACTTCCAAAACATGTACGGTAGAAGGAGATATATGAGTCCACTTTATTGTTTTGTGTTTGAGAAAAAAAAAACCGATACACTGTTATCAGTTTGATAACGATAGTCTGGGATAGTAACACAAATCTGAAGCGTTTGCATTTGCATCCAAGTCATCAGGATATCCCCGCAAAGGTAAACGCCGAGTTATTGAGCATTAGCATGCTAAACACGAAGTATCGCGGCCTCTTGTCGAGATTTTAATATTACTAGGTATGTCTGTGTTCGCATAAATTACTAATATAATGCTGTGTAATTATGCGTTGTCAATATTTAAAATATATATGTTCCATACAAAGTATTATTAAAACATAACATACACATACATTTCCTCAATAGACGTTCACTTTTAATTCATATTATCTTCCAACATACAATGCTTCAATACTTACTTTATTGTTTACAGATTAAGTTATAGTTTAGTCATATACATTATAACAAAATTCCTTGTCAAAATGAAACAGCATCAGGTACATTATTGATTAAGAAAAGCACATTAACCCCAACCTTTTTTAAAAATCATTTGGCATTGAAAACAGTGATCAGCTTTTCACAGACACTTTATTTTTCATTCCTAGACGTTTTACTAAATTTAACTTTTCATTTTAGTTCCAATTCAGTCTATTAAATTGTTTTATTCCTTGTTTAGTCATAGTCAATGAAGTATTTTAACATTTTGACAGAACTGACACTTTTGTTGTAAACAGATGAATCATTCTGTTAATAAAGGCTAATGAGTTTTTGTCTTTTTTTTTCTTCCTTCTTTAGATGATCCCAGGACGTTAATAGCAATTGAGTGCAGTTTTCACGAGGCCCAGCAAGAGAAAGGAGGCAGCTCTGACTCCGTTTTCTCCAAAGACTCTTCACAGCAGCTCATTGCGTAAACCCAACATAGTCTTCCTATGAAGGTGGGTTTTGACTTACATCGCCACTAAAACTGTTGTAGTGGTGACACTGTGTAGTACTCAGCCACATGTTGGGGTTTGTAAACATCATAGTCTTTTCTTTTTCTTTTTTTTTTACAAAAAAAGAAAAAAATATATATACAACCTTGTTATTATCAGTGTGACCTTTGCCAAGAGAGTATGCCAAGATACTGGGATTCAGGAAATCTTCAAAGAAGAGTTAGGGGAATTCTGAAAGAGACCAAACAAAGGGAACAGACAAGAGTCTGCTCATTTTGAAGGTTATAACTTACTCAGTGTTTTTCCCCTTATCAAAGTTATGCACCGATTGGACTATGATGAACAGCTTAAACACCTGTTTGTCAATATCTCTTAAACTATCACACACCTTAGTTATAACAACGTAGGATTTGAATGTGTGTGGATCCATTTTATCTCTGGTAGGAGCTAGTTGTACATGTAAATGGGGGAGTTAACAAGTTATAAGACAAAAAATTCTAATCATGAATGTGACAAAGCTATTTCTCTCCATTGCCTGCATTTCAGCCTCAACTGTTTCACTGGTGTTTC